GGATTTTTTTACCCATGAACCGTTGTGTAACTATATATATTATTATTTCTTTAAATTATATTTTTCCATTATTTTTTCTTTAATCTAAAGATTCTTTCTCTATTTTTAATTATTAGCTTATCGCTTCAAATTAAAATTAAACCACTTTTAAAATAGAATCATAAAGTTATTTTAAGAATTATATACAGTCATTAGATTGCTAAAAATGCATGAAAGTTGGCATTGTATAATGCTAAACTTTACATTTATTTGTGTACACACTTTTATTGTGACTCATAATCATTTGTTTGTTTTAAATGAAAACGTCAGTATTAACAAAACACAATATTGAGATGAAGGCACATTAAATAGAAAGATGGAGAAATAAACGTGTTTAATAAAAAAAATGTACTTAACTAAATTAAAACAATAAAATGTAATCATTTTAAATTTAACAAAATGATTGAAAGACAAAATTGAAAAAGCGTATCCATTTGTCTATTGGACAGGATTTTGCCTTTTTCATAAAAGAAACTGAGTGTCCTTAGAATTTGTGCAGTTTATTCTTTCGTAATTTGCTATTGCATGGACTTTTCTTGACACCTACACCATAATTAAAGCTTCCATTACTTGAACAAAATCAGGGCTAGCGTGAATTGAAACAACAAATATTGTGTACGTCTTCATAATTCAGCCAAAGAATGCATAATATAATGACTCTATAGAGGATGCAAGTACTTGACAAGTGGATCCTCCAAAGATTTCCTCTTTTCTTGCTGCTGAATCATTGGTGGATTTTCACTCATCTAATTTTCGTGATCCAAATTATCCGTCCACGTGTAGTTAAGATGCTTATTCAAATTTGGATGGTAGTTTGTGTGAAAACACTACAAAAAAAATGGGCTCCACTGACCAAAGGTTTAGCGACCAGTAAAACATGGTTGTAATAAAACACGTTCAGTGACCAAGTAATGGTGGGTATGGGTTTTGGTCTAGTAAAATTGGACAAATTTTGTTATGTTCCAATTCGACCAAATTATGGTAGCTGTTTCAGAGAATTAGGGACCATACATTTGATTGGTTGGTAAAGGTAGTGCAAAAAAAGAACAAAAAAATTTCCACGAATGACACCCACTCTAGTGACCACTGAATGGTTCCAGATCTTAGCCTTCTGCAACCATCGATGTCATGGTCGCTAAAAGATTTGGCACAATTTTATCCCTCTTTTTTTCATTTGGTCTTTGCATGTTTTAGCGACCAAAGGTAATGGTTGCTGACATTATACCACAAAAGTGACCACTGAATGGTCCCAGATCCTAGCCTTCTGCAACCATCCATGTCATGGTTGTTAAAAGATTTGACGCAATTTTATCCTACTTTTTTTTCAATTGGTCTTTGCATGCTTTAATGACCAAAGACAATGGTCACTGACACTACATCACAAAAGCGACCAATGAATGGTCCCAGATCCTAACCTTCTGCAACCATCGATGTCATGGTCACTAAAAGATTTGGCGCAATTTTATCCTGCTTTTTTTTTTTTTTTTCATTTGGTCTTTGCATGTTTTAGTGACCAAAGACAATGGTTGCTAACATTACACCACAAAAGCAACCACTGAATGGTCCCAGATCCTAGCCTTTTGAAACGTGGCCTATAAATACAAGGTTCCTCTTTCAGTTTTGTTTAAGGATTATTGCCGTGTCTGTAATTTCTCTCCATATTGTCAATTTATAATACATCGTTCCTCTTCGATAAATTCTCTTTGTTTATTTTTTTACTTTTAATCTCGTTTCTTGTTATGTCCTTCTGTGGATTGGTTAAGGTTTTTTCAAAGATGACTACCATGAGGTATGACATTCCGCTACTCGATCGCAATACAAGATTTTCTTTGTGACAAGTAAAGATGAGGCCTATTATGGCACAGTTTGATTTGGATGATGTGTTGGTCCAAACGGAGTATAAACAACGAAGGGATCGGAAGGCTTTATCATTGATTCATCTTTATCTATCCAATGATATTCTGCAAGATGTCTGAAGGAGAAAATAGCAGCTTTTGAAATTGGAGCAGTTATGTGTGATCAAAAGTCTTATCAGTAAACTGGCTCTAAAGCAAAAGCTGTATTCCCATCGCGTGGCGGAAGGAGAGCCGTTGAAAGACCATATTGTCGCGTTCAAGGAAATTGTTGCAGATTTGGAAATGTTGAAGGTTAAGTACGATGAAGAGGATCTTGCCTTGATCCTTTATGTTCGCCGCCTGGCTCTTATGCCACATTTTGGGACACCATTTTGTATAGTCAAGATACTTTGACTATAGATGACGTCTATGATGGTTTGTACTCAAAGGAGAAGTTGAAGCATTAGGTTGGAGCTACATCGAGGGATGATGAAGCTCTTTTATCACATGATGATCGATGGAGGGACAGATCGAAGAATAACAGCAATTTGTTTTGCTTCTACTGCAGACGTAAGGAACATATTCGGAAGGATTGCGATAAGTTGCAGGCTAAAGGTTATTTAACTACAAATCATGGAGCGCAACCTTTGAATTCAGACGAAACTAATGTAGTTGAGGATTTTTCAGACGGTGGAGATGTGATGTTGATCGTGATATCTAACGTGGAATCTAGGCCTAACGAAGAGTGGTTTCTTGATTTTTATGTTCGTATTATATGTGTTCCAATCAAAATTTCCTTTAGACATATGAGGCTATTCAGCAAGGTGGAGTTGTAACGGGAAACAACTAGTCTTGCCGCATTGTTGGGATCAATCAAGTCAGATTTAGGCTGGGGGATGGGACAGTCAGAAGAATTGATCGTGTTCGATATGTTTCAGACCTAAAAAGGAATATCATCTTGTTTATTACTTTGGATGCAAAAGGGTATAAATTCTCTGGTGGATATTCAATTTGGTACAGTACCTCTTGTGACGGGCTCTGGGTCGGTTTAGAACATTGCTCGAGGGAGCGTAGGTGATTCCACTTTACCACCAATTTCAGTGCTTGCACTGTGTTTAGTTGCTAGGATTGGATCCATTGAGCGTAGTTTTGAGTGAACGTAGATTGAAAACTAGGAATTTAGATTTTTTGATCATGTAGGTGATGAAATTATTTATTATTTATTTATTTCCACTTCATTACATTACACTGTATATGTTTGAAGGTATATGTAATATCGATGTCGGAGCATTAAGTTAATAAGAAGGACACCTTATTTTGTGTTACTCATCTAAATTCCTTGTGTAAATATTTTTCTAATTTTTAATTATTTTGGATACAATATATTGCCTCCAAAATTATACTTTTTTAATTTCTTTTTTAGCCATCTCTATGCACTTAATATTAACGATTTACTTTCCTTTTTAAAATTTCAGCATTTAATTTTCACACAATAAGAAATAAAATCACATGGATAAACATTTTCGTGGCTTATTTGGAAAGTACAAGTGAAATAAAAAATTAGTCAATATGGGATTATCAATATTCCAATTTAGCTATGAAAATAAAGGAAAATAATCCATTAATATTAAGTGCATAGAGATGGCTAAAATAGGAACGGAAAAAAAAAGCATAATTTTGGAGGCAGTAGAGTGTATCCGAAACAAATTAAAATGAGAAAGATATTTACACAAGAAAATTAGAAGAGTAACACAAAAAAGGTGTCCTTTGTATTAACTTAATGCTCCGACATCGATATTACAAATACTTTATAAAAGATTTACAGTATAATATAATAAATAATTAATTTATTTTACACTACAATCATAAATTAGTTTTTAATTTATTTTCCCACAACAGTGCCATAGCTTTTTCGTCAACGTCTTTTTTGTTCTTCGACACAGAAAAGAATCTTCTTTTCCTCCGTGATTTCAGTTCACGATGAAATCCAATCTGCATTATGTTGAGAAAAATTTTCGTGTCACAGTTACGAGTAGCTTTCCAAAAGCTGTTTAGGTACCTCGCCTGCCATTTACTCAGGCTGTGTCCTTCCTTCTTTTTATAGATGCGAACGAGCTTCCATTATTCTATGGAATCCCCAATATTTCTATGATGCTATAAATCTTCACACCAAATTAGTGTAAGAATTTTGGATCATATAATAATCAAGAAAGACCATTCACTCGAAAACTAAATGCAATCATAATGAATTAATGATTGAATTTTAAATGTTAGAATTTTTTCCAATTCATTTATTTATAAAAAATAGTAGAATAGGCTTGTGATAAATACTATTTACACTACACCAAAAAAAAGGGCTACTGCAACGATCAAAAAACATTGCAAAAAGTCATTTGCAGCGTTTGAGCGTATGTTGTGAAGCTTGATGTTGCTATTGAGGTAAGACTTTTTGCAGCGTTTAAAAAACGTTGCAAAAGCCTAGTCTATTGCAACGTTTAGCAATATACTAGGAAAAGCCTATCTATTGCAACGTTTTCTAAACGTTGCAATAGACTAGGCTTTTGCAACGTGTAAAAGATGTTGCAATAATCTTTAAGCTGATTGGACCTTGTAAACCTTCAGCTGTTACCTGCCATTTAATCTTTTGAATTGGAGTTTGACCTCCTCAACTTGTCTCTTTATACACCTCATTTTTAATTCTTATAAACTGAGACGGAATTGTTATGTCCAGCTTCTTGGAGTTCCCTATACCAAAGGGCATAGCATTCATTGCGGAAGTTGGTCTCGGTGGTGAACTTCGCATGGTATATTATTGCTTTCTTTTACCTTTTTAACTTACCTAATGTCAAAGGCATATTTCTAGTGTGTTTTCTCTGCAGCTATTCAGCTAATTGTATTGGATGTATTTGCAGACACAGAGATTAGAAATTCAAAGCGCAGACGCTTTTTTACTTAATAAATCTAACCATCTCATCTTATGTTCACAAGAAAACTTTTTTAGTCAATTGGCTGGTTTTGATCTCACAAAATTTCCGAACCGCATGGGGAATTACATTCTAATTTTCATATGTTCTTTCTCAAAATTTGATATATTGAGAGATTAATTTTAGTTCAATACATGGTACTAAGAAGCATCAAAGAATCACTATCATATTCTCTCCTCCATTTTCTTTTAATAACTGTAGGTGCCACAATTGGAGAAAAGAATTAACCCACTGGCAAAGCTTGGATATAAAAAGTGCATCGTTCCCAAGTCAGCAGAGAAAATTTTGTCAGAAATTCATTCTGACGGAATGGAGATTTGGGGATGTAAAAATTTGAAGGAGATGATTCACACTGTATTCAGAAGAGGCTGATACATTTTACTTTTGAACCTATTTAAATCATGTATGATATTATTGCTGTAAATATAAATTCTTCCTATTTTTCCCTAAGACAGTAATTTTTCATGATCTGCCTTGAAAACATAAGGATTAATCTTTGCCCATAATCAATGACCTACCTTCTTCACTGTTCAGACAAAGCAGTGGGGTGGACCTTGCATATAATCTTCTAGGGCACCTTGTCAGCTCAGCCCCGACATTCCCAGCTAACCTCCGTTGGGATTCAGTTAGTCTGCAATGTAGAAGGTGATGATACTAATGATTAATAAGAATGAGCGATTTGTGTCAGAATTGACGTTTTTAAAACGAAAAAAACTTGTGTTTGCTAATTAATTCAGAAAATCATTATCAGTGGTGAAGAAAAAATCCTGTAATTACTTTAGGTTTAGATTTTTGATTCCACTTAATTTGAATTTATATATTTCTTTTTCCTTAGTTTCATTTTTTGAAGTTTGAATAATCCAACCCCGCAATTGTTAGTGCGAAATTAACATTTTGGTTTTTGTCATCTGATTTGTATAGTAAGTATCACCTCATTTGTTTAATTAGTTCATTATTCTTTTGATTTTTCAACTAATAATTAGTTAACTTAAATTAATCCTATGGGGTACCAGTTAACTGTATTATAGCTATCAATTAGTCAAGTCTCAAGCTGGACTCAAAAGGAGACAAAATACAAGTGGGATTTGATGGTGGCAAAATACCCCCTTTTTTTTGCTTATGGAAAGATCTGATGTGGGCATTAACTTGTGTTGTTCAAAAATCTGGTGGCCTACTAATATATTATACTATGTTATCCTTCTCGTCCAACTTTGTTTTGAAATACATAAGCATATATGTATGTATATAATTGCCTGTTTATTAATAATCTTCCTTCCAATTTGCATATACATGAATAATATTCAACGTGGAGTGGTAGATGGGATGAGAAAAGAGAAGGTCAGTTGAATAATCTGATGCAGGGGGATCCGAGTCAAGTGATGCTGATTTGTCAGATTGCACGATGATGGCGCTGAGATACCATGAGATGGCGGATCGGCGCAAAGATGGAAAGTAAATCACCATTATTTCCTTAATTGGGAGATTTTGACGCGTCTTTGGTAATTTGGTCATAACTTTGGCTACGGTTATCGGAATCGCTATTATGACCCCAATTCGGAAAGCTCTCTTCGGCGCACACGTCGTGGCCACCTAGCTTCACTCGGTGGATGTCAGTTTCAAGCCCAAAATCCACTGTTTTCCTTTCCAAAATTCAATTTTAAGTTATTTTTTACTATTTATGGTAATATTTAGTTTCCTTTTTTCTATATGTTAGAGAACTCGAATTAAGCCAAATTTTTGGCAACTTACTTCTTTTACTTAATATTTTATTTTGGTATAATTTCGGGATTTTGCCATTTTTGGTAATTTTCCAATAATTTCGTATTTCGCAGCTATTTAACCCGGCTTGTGGGTTCGTTTTCAGCATTCTGCATTATTAATAATATTGAGTTGAATTCAGAGTATTTTCTCTATTTTTTTGGGCGTTTTCTATCGTTCTTTTCTTGCGAATCATCTGCTACAACAAGCCAATAGGATAATCATTATCATATCCGACGTCAGTTGGTATCAGAGCGTCAGCATCTTCTTGGGAGATAAATTCCATCAGTTATAATGGTTGGTAGACGTGGTCGTGGTCGTCGAGGACAGGTTCCGATTGAGGAAGTCCAACACCGTGATCGTAATATTCAGGATGTGACGATTGAAGATTTGCAGAGACAAGTTGCGGAGTTAACCCAACATTTGGCGGAGCAGGAGTTCGGTAATCGTGATGTAGAAGGTCACGATTCCGATACCAGTTTCGAAAACCCGTATCACCATCGTGCTCGAGTTTAGGAGCATCGTGGACGGGAGGATCGTCATGTGGATCTCGGTTTCAGAGTGGATCTGCCCGAGTTTTCTGGTACATTGCCGGCTGAAGGATTTATTGATTGGTTGAATGAAGTGGAGCGGATTTTTGAATATAAGGAGGTTCCAGATCGTGTCAAAGTGAAACTGGTCGCCATCAAACTCAAAGGTAGGGCATCTGCATGGTGGGAACAGTTGAAGCGCTCACGGGAGCGACAGGGGAAATCCAAAATTACTAACTGGGAGAAGATGAAGAAGAAGATGAAAGGGCACTTCCTCCCTTTCGGCTATACTCAAACCTTGTTTCAGAGGCTCCATTCACTAAGGCAAGGCGCCAGATCAGTCAATGATTATACTGAAGAATTCTATCAGTTGGTGGCTCGGAATGATTTATCTGAAACGGAGGAACAGATGGTAGCACGGTATTTCGGGGGATTAAGGCAGCCCCTACAGGATGTTCTCAGCCTTCATTCATTGTGGACAGTTTCCGAGGCATATCAGCGAGCACTTGCAGTAGAGAAGCAGCAAAGTAGGAGGCCAGTGGTCAGAGGTGAAGGAAGTCAGTCAGTTCGCCCTCAAGAATCTCGTCCTGCTTATCAGCCACAGCGGGATAGTTCCAGCTCAAATATTAAGTGCTTTAGGTGTGGTGAACAGGGGCATAGGGCGACTGATTGCAAGAAGCCTGCTGGTCAGAAGAATAAAACTCTTCTGATTGAGGAGGATATGATAGAGGAGTTTGAGGAAGTTGGGAAACCCGTGTATGATGAGGGTGAAGATGAGGACGTGCTATATGGAGATGGTCAGGAGACCCTGGTTGTTCGAAAGAGCCTGCTGACTCCCAAGGGCGACTCAGGGGATGATTGGTTGAGGACCAACGTTTTCCACACAACCTGCACAGTTGCTGATAAAGTCTGTAAGCTGATAATTGATAGTGGCAGTTGTGAGAATGTAGTGTCTGAGGAGGCTATCGAGAAACTACAACTGAAGATGGATCGTCATCCCAAACCATACAAGTTGTCTTGGCTGAATAAAGGCAGTGAGGTAACGGTAGAAAAATGATGCTTAGTGTCTTTCTCAATTGGAAAAAAATATTTTGATAATGCTTGGTGTGATGTGGTATCAATGGATGCCTGTCATGTTTTGTTGGGACGACCTTGGCAGTATGATCGCAGTGTTATCCATGATGGGTGGAAGAATACTTATTCTCTTAGTATCAAAGGAAAGAGAATTGTTTTGGTGCCTCGCAGGGAAGGAAACATCCCTGCCCCGGTAGTTAAAAACCCCAATCTACTTTCTATGTCCAGGTTTTTGGTTGAGGTTGGGCATGAAAAAATAGTTTATGCTTTAATGCCTCGCGAAAATAGTACAGCGAGTGTGGATTCAGAATTTCCAGCAGAAGTACAACAACTACTGATGGAGTTTTCTGACTTGATGCCAGAGGATCTTCCTCCAGGATTACCACCTATGAGGGACATTCAACGTCAGATCGACCTCATTCCGGGGTCGAGTCTACCAAACCGACCAGCATATCGCCTCAGTCCTAAGGAAGCTGAAGAGTTGCAGCGACAGGTGGTAGAATTATTGGAAAGAGGCTACATTCATGAGAGTATGAGTCCTTATGCAGGTCCTGCTCTACTAGTGCTAAAGAAAGATAGGTCATGGTGTATGTGTGTTGACAGCAGGGCAATTAACAGGATTATAGTGAAGTACAGGTTTCCAATTCCCCGTCTGGATGACATGTTGGATCAATTGTCCGGTTCTAAGGTTTTCTCAAAAATTGACCTTAAAAGTGGATACCACCAGATCAGAATCAGACTTGGAGATGAGTGGAAGACCGCTTTCAAGACACAGCATGGGTTGTACGAGTGGATGTCATGCCCTTTGGACTATCCAACGCACCTAGCACTTTTATGAGGTTTATGCATCAGGTTTTACGGCCTTTCATGGGGAAGTTTGTGGTAGTTTATTTTGATGACATACTTATTTATAGTCTGACATGGGAGTCACATTTTAATCATCTTCGTGCTGTCTTTGATGTAATGAGGACGGAGCGCTTATTCATCAATCAGAATAAGTGTTCTTTCTTCACAACTTCTGTAACTTTTTTGGGTTTTGTTGTGTCTACTGATGGTGTTCATGCAGATCAATCCAAAATTGAGGCAGTTTTGAATTGGCCGAAATCAAAAACTTTGCACGATGTCAGGAGTTTCCCTGGATTGGCATCCTTCTATCGTCGATTCATCAGAAACTTTAGTACCTTGATTGCTCCTATCACAGAGTGCCTTAAAGGGCGTGATTTTCAGTGGACTGAGGAGGCAGAGGCTAGCTTTCAGTTGGTTAAGCAGAAGATGACGGAGGCCCCAGTCTTGGCACTTTCGAATTTTGAAAAGATGTTCGAGGTAAATTGTGATGCGTCTGGAGTTGGCATTGGTGGTGTTCTGAGTCAGGAGGGACGTCCAGTAGCCTTTTTTAGTGAGAAGCTATCGGGATCAAAGAAAAATTATTCCACTTATGACCTGGAGTTCTATGCCATAGTTCAGACTCTGAAGCATTGGCGCCATTACCTGGTACAGAGAGAGTTCATCCTTGTTACTGATCATGAGGCTTTGAAATACATCAATGGTCAGAACAAGTTGAGTAGGTGACATGCAAAGTGGGTGGCGTACTTGCAGGAGTTTACTTTCACACTCAGGCATCAAGCAGGGAGTTTGAATCGAGTAGCAGATGCATTGAGTCGTCGCACATTACTCCTCACCACCATGAGCACAAAGATTGTCGGATTTGAGGCATTTCCTGATATGTATGCGGCGGATCCTTCATTTGGGAAGATAATTCAGGAGGTAACTGATAATCCCCGACATGATTTTGTGTTACATAATGGTTACCTGTTTCGTGGATTGCAGTTATGCATTCCGGATTATTCACTAAGGCAGCAGATTATTAGTGAACTTCATAACGAAGGACATTTTGGGCGAGACAAGACATTGGCATTGGTCTCTTCTGATTATTACTGGCCCAAGTTGAGCAGTGATGTGGCGCATTATGTGGAGCGGTGTTATGTATGTCAACGGTCTAAAGGGGCTCTTACTAATGCTGGATTGTACACACCATTACCCGTACCTGAAGCTCCTTGGTTTGATGTCAGTATGGATTTTATC